TGCTGGCGATGCACGTGAAGGCAGACGATCGATATTCTGGCGCATCACGCACACAGGTAACCTTCCGTCTAGTAATTCAGCCTTGAACTGCAGTATCTTATAAGGGCGCATATCTGCTGTACACTGTGCGCATCGCGCAATCCTTGTTTAGCTTCACCCGGAATGTCGACTTTCTTCACAGAACTGAGTGTCACAGCAGATATGGCAATCTACGAGCATCACGCAGCAGTTCATGTTTGTGGGTTCCAGACCTCGATACTTTGTTTTCACATCGATATTGCTCGGGCAGGAACAAAAACCACCTGGACAGATTTTACTTGGCGTCCGCCAATCAACTGTCTCCATTTATCTTGGCGCCTATTTGTCGTGTCGTCGATTTTCGAGTGATTTTGGCATTTACGCCGCGATGTTCTAGGCACAGCATTTACACCAACCAGCTCACAGACCAACACACATTAGCCGGCCGCCTGGGAGCTAGCTGCAACTGCCGCATTTGTACACGCCCACAGCAGGATAGTACCAGCAGAGAACACTCTGGTCTCTGTGTGTACGAAGTTTCGTAACGTCAACCCACGGAGTGTCAATGACGAGTACGCAGCAGCACCAGGAAGAGCTTAGAAACAGCGAGGAGGGAGATCACACACACACGCGCGCATATTAATATGGAGTTACAGCAGAAGCCCGCAGGGATCCGTGCATAATTCTATGCCTTCTGCTTGCCCGTCCTCTCGCCAGACCACTTCAAGTAACGTGATGACGATGACGATGATGATGATGCTCTGGCATATCTGCATCTGTGTGTTTGCTGCTTTCTTCTTCGTCCTCTTGGCTCCATCTAGGGTTCTTTGGCACGAACGACCCATAGTAAACAACAATTATCTCGTTGGTATGTTGAACAACCCGCGTGGCAGCATATCTGCACGATGATTGCTGCCGCGGTGACGACATATCTGCTCTGGCGTCTCCTTTACTGATTCAGTGAGGTGCAACATTTTGAAAGCGTGCGGCCCGCAGATTAGATGGGTTTGACACATGTATTGATTGGCGGGCTTCGCCCGCGTAATCAAACTCCAAAACATTGGTCCCGGTGCATTATTATTTGCCTATGCTCGTGCTGCACACGCCCCGGCGAGCTTCCTCCTAGAAATTCTGCCATGACCTGCAGTGCCGCACACATAGAAGGGTGAACTCCTGCCTGCTGTGAGCAGTGGGGAGGCTGTGAGTGTCGCACAGTCTGTGTTGCGTCTACATGCCAGACGTCGTTTTTTTGTATATGTACCTTTTGAAAAACACTGAGGTACAGTGTAAAGAATCCCTACACTGCAGCAGTACAGTAAGTTCAACTCAAAAGCGGGCCACATTTATTTCTGCAATATTGACATTAGGTTGGCTCACCAACATCCCTTTCGGAATTTCTGTTGCTGAAGAAATTCAACAAGACGTTCCTTTTGAACACCAACTGCCGTCTCCACGCACTCCATCTACTTCCGAATTCAGGATATATCTCACGTGTTTGGCGCTACTTCGACGACAATCACTCAATGGACCGCAGTCGTGGAATTCAGGTGAAAAACGTTAGTGACAGTATGGCGGTACTGAACTTAAAAATATATATATGACATTTGAAACAATCCGACAATTTTAAGTGTTTTTTTTCTTCATCTCTGCCGGGACAGCGTCTTTTCTCACACTTTCTTCAGCATGGCACTCAAAGAACCCGTCGGTACATTTACCCCGTGGCGTGTCGGGCTCGCTGGACACCGGGGGTGCGCGTGATGGCCGCTCAAAATTCGCTGGCACTGGCTCCATTCCAAGGGGTCGCGATTCCGAACCAAAAAAGCCCCTCGAATGGAACGAACACTGCAAAAATAACTTTTGTTTTGCCCCGCGCCCCGTGCCACGCGCCCACACAGCTGCTGTGTTGTGTACGCACCCACTACACAGCAACTGGTGCAAAGGCAAGGATAGTAGTAGTGACACAACGGCATCGGAGCGACAACGCGGCTAGCTTTCGCACGCTACAAGTGCATGCGTACCCTAGCGTGCTGCGCACGCCATACGCACGTGCTTCCACGCGTTTTTTTTCGGAACGGTTCTTAGAGTCCAAAAGGAAAATTGTTGACAATGGTCTGCACAAGCCACACACGTGATCCGCACACCATGAGCAACGCGGTACAAATTACAAGAGGGAGGGAGAGAGCGAGAGTAGCGGGTTACAGCCGTACGATTTGCGGCAAAGACGCCGCTACCCTATGGTATTTGTGCTTGAAACTCACCACTCTACTGCTACACAGCGGACAGCACAAAAGTAGGGAACGTCACCGGCTCCATTTTATTCCCGGTTACCCGCCGGGTATTTCGCAAGGTCGTTTGCCGAACAGATTAGATCCAGTGCAAAATGCCCAATCAACGCTCCTGAAACTGGTCGCTTGCGTCACCAAACCTCTGCAAAACTCAACTCTACTTGTCAACAACACCAAGGCGCACCAAGCGCACTCCACAAAACCCACACAGCCACCGAATCACCAGCAAAGGGTCATGTGCCCTACGCTGGCAGATCGAGAGCAAGAGTACAGCCCACCAGTTGGAGCAGCAGCGCACACATAGGTGTTCATACAGCAGCAGCAGAGTCGGAACATATGCACATGATGAGAGCAAAGGAAAATAGACCGAAAAAAATCGGGAGTCAACAGAGGCCGATCTTGGAGCTGTTTCTATCCGTTCTACCGCCGCTCACAAGCTGCCACAGGCGGTCCTGAGCATATGCGCCGCTAGCCCTGCTCACACTGATTCTCGGAAGGTCTCAGCTTTGCTCGCCCTCGACGAATTGGTCTCAAAACATACGCGAGCGTGTTTTCGAAAAGGTTGAAGTTGGACCCTTGAGCCAGAAAATTGTGCTGCTGGACAGCAGCGCGTGGTTGAAATGTGCCAGGCGCACAGCGCGGCTGCTGTGTGCGTTGTGTGCGTCTCTCTGCAGTGGACAAAGTTTCTTGTTCTGTTTTTTTCCATGGACGCAGCGACCTTTTTTTTGTATTGGCATGCTGTTTTGCAAGTCAAAAGCTGTCCAAGAGTGCCGATACGGCGTTTCAAATTTCTCGGCCGTAACAGCTTAGAACGGGATGCGGTTTCTTGTAGTGTGTGAGCAAAACCCAAAGGAAGAGATCACACGGTTCAGTTTTCCGAGCTCGAGGGAGAAAAGACGAGCACTGAGCTAAAATTCAGTAAAAAACGTGTGTTCTCGGTCTTCCCGGGTGCGGACAAAAAATCGCAACCGTGTGATTCCTAGAGTATGATCTGTACACAGGTGTTGTAAAGTACGAAGTGCCAACTCTCCACCTGGAGCCAGCATTTCCGTTGTTAGATCCGGTTCTCAATCCAAGATAATAAAAATTCGGCCACCGAGTCAGGAAAAAAAAGTTTTTTTTGGCTGGTCGTTGTGCCGTTTTTTGCTGGTCGTTAGCGGCCTAATCTCGAGGTCTAACTGTAGTGGCACTGTTCAGGGTCTAAAAGCCCATCAATAGTGCCCAGCAGACTCTATTGAGAACTGTTCGACTTGAGAGATCAGCGCTTACGCTTTGCGGGGCTGACAGAGTACCAAACGAACGGCATACGGATCAATCGTGAGGGGGGCGACACGGGCGGGGTCCTTTAAGTTTCGTGAGGCTCCTAGCCTATCGAAAACACGGCTTTGGTCACATTAGTAAGTTGATGGACCAGATATATTTGTTGCATCATTGTTTTCTTCCCACAACGCACACACGAAGGTAGTGATCGTTGTGGGTTTTGTTTTAACCGTACACCGTGCTGCCCGATCAAAAGGCACCTCCCTATGCTACTCTAATTAAAGACAGACCCGGTTACAACAGACGAATATTGCATGTGCCCACCAAGGCTACTACTTTGCACACGCGTTCGTTTCGAAGTGTTTTCATCCTTTTCCTTGTATTTACCACCATACTCAAGTTTTTTCATCCTTGTCCGTGTATTTTCCACCACTACTCTCGTCAATAACATTTCCACTATTTGCGAGGAAAATCATCTGGCTGGAAACTCTTGTGCCCTTCAACGCCATCTCGTCTCCTGCATCATCACTGCTATCCTTCGCTATTTCCTTTCTATCTTTCGTTACCAACCACCATCCTTCCTTTTCACCCTCCCCACCACACATCATTTTGAAATCCCAACATTTCGGCTGAATTGGACCGTGTGGTCGAGTTTGGTCAATCGATAAACCATGACATTTGAAGACGTCACGACTTCGTACAGGCAGAAAACGAGCTGTACTTGTAGCTCGAAGGTAAACCGTCTCCGGATTGGTGTGGTAGGCCCTGAGGCGAAAAAAAGGCTGTGTGTGTGATCTGAACCGGCACTGTTGAGGCTGTGTCAAGAAAACTTAGCGGCACTGTTCAACCGGACTATTTCCGGGACACCTACTGCTGTAGCTCATCCTATTAAAAGTGTACCGAAAATCTTCCAAGTCCCCGCGTTGTTCTGTGCTATTGGGCATGTTGCTGTATTACCGTCTTTGGTTATCCGCGAAAGCTCAGACGTCAGGTTTCTCGAACCGCACAAACTGGCGTTTCCCGTCTCGGTCATGCACATCGTACTTCCATCTTACCGTCCATACGCGCCTCTATTAAACTGTTGGTTTTTCTCTTCGTAAAATGTCTTGCCATCGGACCCCGCCGCCCAGGGGGGACTTAATGCCTTAATAGTACACACACACATCGTCAGACCATCGTTAGCTGTGAAACCTTTGCGATCCCTTTCACCAATGTCTTGCTGTTCGCAAACGTACTCCGTCGAATTCGACTCTTTTCACAGGCGTGGTCGGCACCAAGAAGAGAATTCGATGCTCCACGCACAAAACGGAAGGATTGGTGAACCTTGCCCACAAGACATGTGCCCAGCCAGGCTGTACTACACTGTCGACGTATGGCTACGAGTCAACTCTTGGACGCAAGAACGCGGAGTACTGCGCAAAGCACGCCCTTCAGGGGATGATTTGTGTCACCAACAGGAGATGTGCCCATCCAGCCTGTCTCAAGCAGCCGACGTATGGCTCGACAGCAAGTGGTAGGCCTGAGTATTGCTTTGCTCATCAATTGGAAGGGATGGAAGATGTGCGGAACAAGAAAAGGTGTGGCCACCCAGGTTGCAGCAAGCACCCCAGACGCGGTGTTGCCGGCAGCAAGATGCCTGAGTTCTGTGCAAAACACGCGAAAGAAGGAATGGTCGACGTGCACTACAACTGCAGGCACCCAGATTGCCCCAAACAACCGAGCTATGGTGTTGCCGGCTGCGAAATGAAGGAAGCATTGTTTTGCAAGCAACATGCCAAGGAAGGGATGGTCTGTTTGGATACTAAGGTTTGCCAGCACCAAGGTTGCAACACGAAGGCCTGCTATGGGACTTATGGCAGCAACCAAAAGAAGTTCTGCGGGCGACACGCGGAGAAGGACATGGTCATGTGCACAAGGAAGTGCACCAAGCCTGGTTGCGATGCACTGAGGTCTTTCGGAGCAGCTGGCAGCAAAACACCGCGATTCTGCGCACAACACGCAAGTGAGGGGATGGTCGATATCTCCAAGAGCAGGTGCGTGCAACCAGGATGTTCTCTCGTGGCGGCGTTCAGCGTGGCTGGCAGGGCAAAGAGGGAGTTTTGCCGTCGTCACGCGAAGGAGGGAATGGTAAGAGTCTCCAGGAACAAGTCCGAAAGGGTATGCGATCGCGCCGGTTGCATAAGTCATGCACGCTGGGGAGTTCCTGGCAGCAGGGACGCCAAGTTTTGCCGTCAGCACGCGGAGGTAGGAATGAGGAGCGTTTACCGCAAGAGTTGCCTCCACCAAAACTGCACGAAGTCCCCGTCGTATGCCGCACATGGCAGTAAGAAGGCACAGTTCTGCGCGAGACACCGCGGGGAAGGAATGGTCAACGTTTTGAGCAGAAGGTGCGTCTCTCCAGGTTGCTCCGGATCCGCGAGCTTCAGGGTGGTCGGAACGAAAAAGGCTCAATTTTGCCCCACCCATGCGGGGGAGGGGATGGAGGATGTGAGAAAGGACACGTGTATCCACCCGGACTGTTTTGCACGAGCAAAATTCGGCGAGGCAGGTGGCGAGAAGGCGGAATATTGCAAGGAGCACGCGGCGAAGGGAGCGGTCGACGTTGTTGGTAAACGATGCCTTCACCCGGGGTGTATCAAATGGCCATCCTATGGCCCTGTGGGGAGTAAAAGGCCGGAGTTCTGTGGACCGCATGCCACAGAGGGGATGGTGGCGGTCAGAGGGCTGAGGTGCAGTCATCCATTGTGCAATGAATGGCCATCGTTCGGAAGGGCAGGCAACAAGAAGGGTGAGTTTTGCGGGCGTCACGCTACCGAAGGAATGGTCCGTATCCGTCGGGAGAGATGCAGCTCGCCGGGTTGCACCCTGCTGGCGGTTTTCGGCGTTCGTGGTGCCTCGAAGGCGGAGGTCTGCACCCGGCACGCCAGCGATAAACCCTGGATGGTTCGAGTGTTCCGCAAATTTGGCTCCCGCAATGGTGGGTCCATGCCGGAAGTCAAGGAAGCCGGAGAAAATGTCAAAGCGGAACTCTGCGACGGGGATGTCGCCTCAGAGGCAGGCATTGACGAGCACGATGTCGCGGAGAGAAGGCCTGAGGTGGCACCGGTCCCTCTGGACGGCTGCAGGTCAACACGAAGCAACCCAGTTTTGACTCCACCCTTCATGGGCTGCGGAAAAAGACGAAAGATGATGGACGCTACGTCGACGTTACCAACGACAGGAATATTGTGATAAACACGTTCGAGGTGCAGTCACTCAGGGAGCGCGACGATCTACTCTTTTTTCCTAGAATCTTGCGGCGTTGTACGTGCTCATGAATTTAGGCCTGCGTGAAGGCCGGTAGCTAGGTTTCATTCATTTAGACAGAAACCAGAATGTCGTGGTGGAACGCAAGCACTTACCGGTACGACAGCGTTAGCGTTGCTACGTAGTGTAGTTATGGTACGAGAGAGGCAAGGTAGACGCACGATTCATGAGCAGCGAAGCAGCGTGAGCAGCTTGGGTTCTCTCCATCATGTGTGCTTTTTATTCAGAGTGGTAATTTGTGAGGTAGAAGGAAGCGCCTTTAGGAATTTTGTTCGCCACACCCTTGCCCGACCGCGTCGCCAAAAAAGCCGATCTCGACCTGCACGGCGCGCACGGCTCGCAACATCTCGAGTATTCCTCGATGGTGCGCCCCAAATCGTGTCCAGTCGCCAAGTTTGATCGACATCCGCGTGCAGTAGCGTGCGTCACAAGTGTGCGGCCATGCGCGCTGTTTCTCTCTCGTCTTCACTGGTTCGCCGTCGCTTATTCCCCTTTAAGGAAGATTCGAACTTCATTGTCAACTTGCTTGGCAGAAATCAACAGACCGCCGATGTCGACCAACCGTGCACATTTATTTCGCGATATGTTGAGTTTGCGTCGATAGGGCATATCGCGAGCCATGCCCCCTCGCCGGCGTTCACTCCTCCGCGCGCAGCAGCAGACACAACAAATGCGAGGCCAGTAATTTCCTCGTCTTACCACTTCGCCGTCTTGCTGTCGCTCTTCTTTTGATCTGGGAGCATTTCGGAAAAAGTGAGTATCTCGCCTTCTCGTAAGTTCTGAAAACATGATACTTTTTCGTCCCTTCCTATTACTGAAGAAATATCTCGGAATATACGAATATTGTTTGGAGGCGGGCGGCGGGCAGCTTGTAGTCAGGGAGCATTTCGGAAAAAGTGAGTATCTCGCCTTCTCGTAAGTTCCGAAAACATGATACTTTTTCGTCCCTTCCTATTACTGAAGAAATATCTCGGAATATGCGAATATTATTTGGAGGTGGGCGGCGGGCAGCTTGTAGTCAGAAGCGCAGAGAAGAACGGTTGACTCAAGACCTTGGTACCATTATCGAGTGCGCCAGGAATGCTAGCCCATGAGCAGCAGAAGGGGGGCCGCCCCTCTGCCAATAGATACCACAACTGATACACGAAACCCCCTACTAGTACATGTCCGTAGATCAGCATCGAGCGCTGAGTACCCCGCAAACAACTATGAGGTTGGTCGGTGGGGCTTTCCGGCCCTCTCGCTCAATGAATTTTGAATAACTCTATCTCCCTTCTCCATTTTTTGTAGACATGTTTCGGGAAAATTGGATCTCAGGTTGTTGTTGGCCGGTGGGGCTTTTCCGCCCCCTCGCTCAATGAGATTCTTCGGAGAATGAATCTATCTCACTTCTAAATTTTCTTATAGAGTATTGTCGAAAAATGTGGGAAGAAAGGAATCATCTCAGGTTGTCGGCCGGTGTGACCTTCCGCCCGCGTCGCTCAATGAATTTCGGAGGAACAAATCTCACTTCTCCTACCTCCTGCTATCGCAGAGTAGTTTCGGGAAAAAAATGGAATCTCAGGTTGATGTATCGCAACAACACCACAATGTACAACCAAACTCGTCAGGGCGGGCGCGATTGTAGCCCATCAGGACGATCTACACCGCCTCAGGAACGACAGCCGAGTATCAGTCCATCAGGACGATCTACAATAAAACATTGACGACCAACCGCGGAGTCAGCCGTCAGGCCGAAGATCAGATCTAAGGGCGATATCAATCCCACCCAAACCGCACGCCGCGGAAGGGCGCATCCATCAACCCTTCGGGGAGAACTTCTTCAACATCGTCACCGGCGAGGAAGTTACAGTAGTAGTCCTTGTTTATGTTGTTCTTGGCAAGTTCTTGGTGGTAATTAGTGTTGGTGTGGTGGACGTTCGGTACTCTACGTGCTTGGCCTGTGGTCAAGGAATCCGTCCGTTTCAAGGTATTCCTGGGGACCCCTCTTTGCCCCTGTTCCTTCTTCATGTCCGCTGTCGATCGCGCGAAAATCCTGCTGCTTAAGTGTTACCCAAAAAATAATACGGTATCATCATAGAAAACAGCTTGAGACAGGCAACGCCGACGCTACTCGTCGCGTTGATTTTTCACCATCAATCCTAGAACATCGAATCATGCATTTTTGCGGCTTTATGCCGAATCTGGTGCCTTTCTTTCTGTTAAGCGTGACATCGGGTCTATATATCGTATGCACGCAACTACTATAATACGTGTCTGCGATTGATTGCCCGCAACTTGGTTGCATATAATATAGTCTTCGATTCTGGCTACACGGTGTGCGTGCGCTAGGTGTAGTAATCAAGCAATTAGTACTATGTAAATAACCAATACAACGACATGCAAACCAAAGACGTATGTATGTACAAAAAAAGTCAATTAATTGGGGAAGCAGCCGTTGGCACACGGCTATCTACTACGTGATAAATCAACGCGACGAGTGAGTATGGTCGGCGGTGCCTGTGTGAAGTAGACTACTATTGTTTTAGCGGGTTCAATTAATAGCTGCACATTGAGTGTACTGCGTTGACAGATCACGGCCCGACGGCGGATGGATGTAAACAAAAAATAAAACAAGAGTAGCTACTTCGGGAACCCGATATAAATATATATATATACATACATACATACATACATTGTCGTACTGAGTGGGAGACCGGAGCGGTTTTTTAATATGAAGACAACAACAACAACAACAGTCACAACAACAGCAACAATACATTGGTCACCTGTTTGGGTGCGGTAGCCCGTCAGAGGCCGAAAGAGAAAGAAGGTTGACTCAAGACCTTTGTTGATTAGAGAGTGAGAGACATGCGGTAGGCAAAACCATCGCCATGCAGCATGCCCATCAACACATTTCATCCGCGTACCCCCCGGAGGCCCCATAGACAGTATACTCTGCCGAGCACCCCAAACAGCCCCCCTGCTCGGTACGAGATACGATCTACGAAATCCTCGTCACGACTATCATTGCCAGGTAAAACGGCGATAAATCAAACTACGCATCCAAACGGAAATCATCCACCATTCATTCCAATTCAAACAATTTCCCAATAAAACAATGTTCTACGAAATCTGTCGATCTCCCAATAAAACATGCTTTACGAAATCTTTCAAATCTTCTGATGATATCAAATTACTATCTCCTAAAAGGTCTGTCAATAAACAATTCACCCTCTTGAGAAAAATGCTTTACCAAATTCTCAAGAAGTCAAAACACAAACAGTCACCCTTGGAAAAATACCCAGCACAGATACACATTACATCAGAATCACGTCAGAACGGGGACGGGTAACTCCGGGAAAACGTGTCCAACGTCCTGACTTAGTCAGAACAAATTCCTCAGACAAACATTCATGTTTCAACTCATTGACCAGCTCAAATAATAATCGGAAGCACAAAGGCTTCAACCATGACTGACGAGAACATGCCAAATCCTTCCTCCAATACCCAATACCTTGACAAATATACCAGTCCAACAGCCCCCCTGCTGTAACATCCATCCCAAACACGAAGAAACCAAACAAACAAGTCCAAAACAAACATGAAGCAACCAACAAATCCCAAACAGACAATAAACAATCCAGCAGCCCCCCTGCTGGGACATCTCATATAAACGCAACGAAAATCCCATTCAATATTCAATTCCATGTCACCTCCGCAGGTAAAACGCGGAAAACGATCCAGACATGAACTACCCAAATCCCATCAGCCAACATCAATTCCATATAAAATCCCCAGGGAAAACACGGAAAATCCCAACATGAACTACCAAACCCGATGTCAGAAACACTGCTTGTTGTGCTGCGGCGGACAGCATGGTATCACATTCCCCCCCCCATGATTTCCGACAGCAGTGCAACAATCAGGCGTGATTCCGCAAAATCCAGCATGCCAATTCTGCATCGAACTTCATCAACTCCAAACCGAAACAAGAAAAGAAAATATATCAAAGAAAAGGCGTCACACGTCCAGCGCATACCAGCCTGCCGTACAGGCCTACTTGGAAAGGAAAATTGGTACTCCGCAAGGATTGACTCGTCGGGTACGGTACATCGGAGGGACAGAGAAACGGTGCGTGCCCCCCAACGTCTTTACCCAGCACGTCGAACGCCAAGCCAATGCCTACTACATATATCCAGTACCATCAGAAAAACATAGAGAGAATGTGATCCCAACAAAGAAGGAAAACCAAAGTGGAACAAACCGTACGCAGAAATAATACTACCACCGCCATTTGAGATATTGTCTTGACAAACAACAGCCCCCCGGCCGCAACATTCCATTTGTCTCCCAGAAAAACAACAATAATCAGCCATGGAAATTCCCTGCCATTTGGCCGTGGAAATTAGTGTCCCTGCAAGGTAAAACGCGGGTGGGCATCTCTACAGAACAAAACAAAAACAAATCCAAACCTGCAAATGTGCCAACGATAGGAAAAATGATTTGCAGACGGTGAAAAATGCAGCATTGTATCTGAAGATCAAAACACAAGAACAACATCGTGCACAAAACAAATTTCAGAAAAATGGCAAGAATACGCAAACAAACGTCACGTGCCTTGGCGAGTTTAAGACCCCAGCAGAAGTCGCGCTGCTTGCCGTCATTGTTGGACTCGCCCGATCCTCCGAACTCCTTTCCCCGCTTCATGATCCTCCTGTCGTTGCTCCGGTCGCGAACACGGGCTCCCCGGCCGTTGCCCACGCGACATCTTTCCACGGTCGAACGGGGTGTCCATCCCCATCACCAGCCCCACTCTCCCAGCCTTCAGCCGGCACAGCTTCCCCGGGTCGAAGGGGCGCAGCAGTGCCCCAAACCAGGCCACATCCATCCCCTCCGCCTCGTCGTTGCTACTGCTGCCGCTGCCGCTGCAGCTGCTGCTGCTG